GAAAACTAATTACATGAAACTGAAAAGCTCCTGGACAGATAAAATTAATATATGTAGGATAAAAACGGAAATGGCCAAATGGGAAACAAGTCAACAACTTTGTATCAAATTTCTCTGATAAGGGTTTTATATCCAAGATGTGTGTGTGTATGTGTGTGTGTGTGTGTGTGTGTGTGTGTGTGTGATATGATATGATATGATATGATATGATATGATATAATATGACATTGTTTATGGTGGTTGTTATTCATCCATTCTTGAAGAGAACCAGGAGGATGATGTCTTGACTTCAAAGTGAATTGGATTTCAGTGAGGCAGAACTGTGCAAAGTCATCAGCCTAACTCTCTCTCCTCCAGAATAATTTGAGTGCAGTGCAAGACATAGGTCAGGACAACTGGAGATGACCCTAGATGTATATATTTAATAAATATATGACTAATAGCTATTTTCCAATATGTAAGTGGTAAAAGGATATGAATAAAAATTTCTTTAAAGAATTGCAAAGTATTAACAACCACATGAAAGAATACTCCAAATGACTAGTAATAAGAGAAATATAAATCAAAAGAACCCTGAAGTTTCACCTTACACACTGCAAAATGGCAAAAATTACCCAAAATATGACAATAGCATTGTGGAATAGTTTGTGGAATGATGAGCACACTAATAGATTTTTAGTGGAACTGTGAAATGGTACAACTATTTTAGAAAGCAATTTGGAATTAGGCAAATATAGTGACTAAAATGTCCATATGCTTTAAACCAGAGGCTCTATTACTAAACTTATACCTCAAGAAAGCCATTTATAAGAATCAAGTTCCCATATACACCAAAATATTTATAGCAGCACTTTTTATGATAACAAAGAACTGGAATAATACTGCCTAGGTTAATTTACATGTTTATGCTATACCAATCAAATTACCAAGGAGATCCTTTGTAGAATTTGATAAAAATATTAACAAAATTAATCTAGAAAACCAAAGATCTAGAATATCAAGGGAAATAATGAAATAATGAAAGGAAGTAGGAATGATGCCCAAGTTGGGCATCAACTGGTCCTCAGTTGGGGAATGGCTAAACAATTGTGGCGTATGAATGTAATGGAATATTATTGTACTTTAAGAATGATATGAGAATAAACATTTTTAATATGATTGTACAGGTATAGCCTATATCAGATTGCTTGCTGTCCTAGAGAAGGGAGAGAGAAGAAAAAGATTTAGAATTGAAAATCATAAGATTTTGAAGTAAATGTTGAAAACTATCTTTACATGTAATTGAAGAAAATAAAATACATTAAGTGGGAAAAAAAGACATTATATGTGATGAATGCAGGAAAGCATGGAAAGATATACATGAATTGATGCAGAATGTTTGTAAGAAAACAATGTGCAGAATAACATTTTGTCATTCAGTCATTTTAGTTGTGTCCCGCTCTTCGTGACCAGCTTTGGGAATCTTTGGCAAAGATACTGGACTGGTTTGTCATTTCCTTCTCCAGCTCATTTTACAGATGAAGAACTGAGGCAAACAGAGTTAAGTGACTTGCCCAAGGTCACACAGCTAGTAAGTGTCTGAGGCCAGATTTGAACTCAAGAAGATGAGTCTTTCTAACCTCAGGCCTGGCACTCTATCTACTGTGCCACTACAGCAACATAAATGGAAAGAACAACTACACACACACACACACACACACACACACACTCTCTCACACACACACACACACACACACTCTCACACACACAAATCAAAAGTGAATACAGCAAAATTATAAAATCTAGCAGGATGCAAGTGAAGAAATAAGCGAAGACGTCCACAACCCATTACTTTGTGGAATGAGAGGTCCACACCTCTCATTGCATATGTTTTTGGACTTTCTCAATGTATCAACCAGTTGTGCTGACTTTTTTTCCTCTCTAAAAATACTATTTGTCATATGGGATGCCCCTCTGGAAGGGGAAGGAAGAAATACATGGGATAACTATGGTTATACAAGAAACAAAATATCAATAAAAGCTTATTAAAATAGTTTGATCAATGGAACAGATTAGATACACAACATAGAGAAGCAAAGAAACAGAGTAGCCCAGTGTTCCTTTTAAGTAGGGTGTAGTTTTTTTTTTTTCCGGGCTCTTTATAAAGCCTTGAATCTACTTTCTTCATTGTGCTCACCAGCTGCTGCTAATTCAGATATGATGCTAGGGTGCCAATGAGAAGTCCCAAATCTTCCAGGTTCTTTGAGGCTTACAGTATCCTTCTCTAGCCAAGGGGCAGGGGAGGAGGAGGAATAGATCTAGGCTGAGACTGAAGTCCTCTCCTTTCCCTATGACAAGTGAATACTTTTTAGCGGTGGCTGTTTCTCCTTTCTTCCACTAGATACTTAAAACTTTTTGACGGTAAATTAGCTCCTGGTCTGATACAGGCTCTAAATATTTTATAAGTATAATACATATATATATAAAATAAATAATAATCAACACATGAGAAATATATCATAGTCTAATATCTTCTATCATATCACTTACTTTAGGTGGAGTGAGGTTATTTAATTAATTTATACAAATGATTCCCACACAACAAAGAATATATGTGTGTGTGTATATATGAAAACACACATATGCATACATATATACATGTGTATGTATGTACATGTGTGTATACACATATATACAAATATATATATATATATACACACATAGGTATGCTGAGACAAAAATTATCCAAGAGGTCCATTGATTAAGAACTACTGCCTATCACCAAATCAACATACCGATATAGTTATATGCATATTTATTTATGCTCAGAGTGCAGGCTTATCTGTATGGAAAGTTGGAAAACCTAGAGCATCAGCTTCAGCTACCTTATATAGAATATGAATGCATAAGCAGCATAGAACAATGAAATTTTACAAAAAGCAGGAAGGGAAGATAAGGGTACACATGTCTGAAAACAAGTAGCAGAAAGGGGAAGATAAAGATAACTGCTAGCTAGTCAAAGCAGAAGCTGTGGCTTCTTTCTTACCCTTGATTTTGAAGGTGTTGTGACTTTTTAGCTTCCAGAAACAGTATTTGTAAGCTCAAAATAGAGACTAAAGTGTCTTCTTCTTTTATAAGAAGATAGGGTTGGAATGTAATCTGAGTTAGAGTTTCTTTGCCATCCAAAGTCTTTCTCTTATCACAGGGGCAGCAAGAGGCTTGAGCCAGAAATTCTCTTGCCATTATATATACATATACACATAGACACATATATGTGCATTATATGTAGGTATACATATATATGCACATATGTGTAGTTTATATATGTAGGTATATATGTATATGTATAGGTATATATAAAAATACACCTATACATGTTTATGGAGGTCAAATGCAAGCATATAGCACCTGAGACAGGGAGCTTACTTCTGGAAGAGGCATGATGATGTATAAGGGAAGTGCCTTGAAGAAATTGTGGAGCATGCATGGACATTCTATAATTGGCCATGGTCAACTAACTCTGTGTTAAAGAGGAAGCTATTTGACTGGCCAAAGAAGAATTTGAAAAGTCCTTTTTAGTCACCTCTCCTTTTGCCTTGTTCACTCTTTGAGAATCTTGGTGACTCATACATGTTGTCTAGTAAGAGAACATATTATAAAGGAAAGGCCTCTTCAACTTTGTGAATTCAGAAGTTCCAGAGGGTGCCTCAGCATCCTGGTATTCCAGGGTCTGGGCTCTAGACTCAGTGCACCATTGATGGCCTGAAGAATAAAGAGTAACTTTTTGGATCCCAGCCCAGCAGTAGATGAGACAAGGACTTTGGAGCAAAGATGCTGACTTTGGGTATAAATTTGCTAAGATCAATGCTGTGTAAGGACAGAGCTAAGTTTTGAGCCCCTCCCTCCTCCTCTAGACAAGGTGGAATAGGCCCTTAACATGTTGAGAGAAAATGTTTGTAGTTTTTCCACGTTATATCTTTAAAGTAAATATTCTTTTCTAAAAAAAAAAGTACCAAATATCAAATGGTTAAATAGAACAGAATTACTAGTCAATGGCATCTAAAAGTGTGTGTGTGTATGGGGGTGGAGGGGGGAGACACACATCTAGTTAGCGAAAGTAGAAAAGAGATAGATAGGCCTTCAACCTGCCTGGTTCTGGATACTACGGGTATACTTGCTACGTTTAGTTCCATAAATAATTAGTCGATCTATTCTTTCTCTCTTCTGTTGATGAAAAACATGAAATTTCCCCTAAGGACTGCTTTACTGACACTCACAAATTTTGATTTGTTGACTCACTGTTGTCATTTTTTTTTAGGGCAGGGAAGTGAAATTGTCTATTGTTTCTATGACTCGTTCTTCGATGCACTAGTTTTTTAGGTTTAAGTTAAATTGTCTCCAATTGATTTTGAATGCCTTCTTCAATGGCCCTTTACTGAATATATTTTATTTCATTACGGTCAGTAAAGGATGGGCTTAATATATTTCTGTTTTTCTGAATGTTTGAGATTTTTATGTCCTCATACATGACCAGTTTTTGTAAAGATGACATGCACAATTGAGATGTATTCATATTCCTGGTTAGCTGATCCCAAACCACCAAAATATTCCTCTTAAAAAAATGTGTACTAAATAAAAAATTACAGTTCTTTTTCTCTTCTCTGTATATGGAAATATTCGTATTTATTATTTTCTGTCAAGTTTATAATAAAAAAAGGATATTAAAGTTTAAAAGGAAATACGTAAACTGCGTTTGTGGTGACAGGCAAATTATGTGCTGGGCAGGAAGAGCCTTTCAGGCGGTAAAGGGTCGCAAAAAGCTCTGGACAGATCTAGCTTTCAGCAGTGTCCTTGCTCCTCCTCCAATGACATGCGCGATGGCGATCGAGCGGAGCTTTTTCTAAGGGGCTCCGTTTGTGGTTGGGCCTACTGAGAGGTAGGTATAGGATGCCTGCCGGGGTAGGGGGTAGGGGGTGCAGGGAAAGGTGGAGGAGAAATGTGCAAATGCCGGAGTGGGAGAGGGTATCGCGACTTCAGGGGAAGAAGGTCGCTGTTGAGCTGCCTAACGGAAGCAACATGAGCCCTAAAATTTTGGGGAAGCTTAGTGCCAAGGCCCCGCCTTTGCAGGAGACCTTCTGAAGGGAGGCTAGGGATGCGTGCGCAGCTCCGTCACCATTTCTGGACGCCTTGGTTCGGTGTAGGACATCCGTCCTGGGATCCTATCTCCAGGTATTTACTGACTCGGACTCTAGTTACCTGGGCTTCTTTCTGTCGAGGAGGTGGGACATTTTAATACCACGCAGGCGGAGAATCTGTAGCCGGAGGCTTGTTTTTTGCTTGAGTAACAGTGTGTGGGGAGGGGGTGGTGAGAGGGAGAACCTCTGAGCTGGGACTGTTTGTCATTTGTCACTTGAGCGGGGGCAGGATCCGGAACGCGGAAGGGGCTGGAGAGTTGGAGGGAAGCTTCCGCCGGCAAACTTTACTGAGTCCTCCCTGTCACACAGAACGTGACCACTGGAAGGCACTCTTGATATTCTTCAGTACAACCCTCATTTTACAGATGAAGAAACTGAGAGATAAAATGACTGGAAATAGGTCACACAGCTGGTAAATGGCAGAACCAGGTCGGGAAGCTAGATCTCCTTACACCAAGTACCCGTGCTCTTTCCATGAAACCATGCCAGTGCTTACTGAGTGCCTTGGTGTTTTTGAGCCCCCTGAGGTCTGATTGTGTAACTGAATCTGTCACGGCCCTCCTACTACTACTGATGTGTCTCTGCTGTCAGTAACGTTTAGCTGAGTGTTTAGTTAGTGTGAAAATGCACATTCCCTGCGGTGGATACAGATTTGAACCTTTAATGAGGCTTTTTCTTTGGCAAGGCAATTGGGTTTAAGTGACTTGCCCAGGGTCACACAGCTAGTAAGTGTCAAGTATCTGGTCTGATACCATATTTGAACTCAAGTCCTCCTGACTACATGGCTAGCGCTCTATCCACTGCGCCACCTTGCTGCCCCCTTTAATGAGGCTTTTGCTGAAGGAATGCCAACCTTGGACATGAAGATAATTTTCCAAGTCATCCAGAAACCAAATTTTATCAAAAAGCATACAGTCCTAGGTCAAGTATACCATCTTTGGAGAGCAGAAAACAATACAAAAAATAAACATAGCCTTTTATAATTTTGTAATTATTTTATAATTTTATAATTATATACATTTTATAATTTTTTATTTTTTATAATTAGGAAACTGGGTAATAAAGTGGGAGAAATGAATTTTCAATGGTTAGGCTGCCAGTTAGTGACAAATACAGGAGGAAAAAGAATCTGGGTACCTTGCTTAACATTATGTGCTTCTATAATTCGATATTGTGGTATGTAGTAAAAGAATGTCAGACTGGTTTTAATCCTGTTGCTGCCACAAAGTGGAGGTATTATTATGTACAAGTCATTTAAGCTCTATTAATGTTTCTTGATTTGTGAGATGAGGATATTAACAAATAAATAATAATGTTTATGCTACTTATCTCATTCAATTAAAAAAAAACCCACTTATTAACAAGCACTTTTAACAAGAACTAGGTTCTGAGGATGGAAAGACAAAAAAGCAAAAACAAAAACAAACCATAATAGTCCCCTCCTCAGGGAATTTATACTCCTTGAGGGATATATCTTTTAATAGATGCAAGAGAGTGAAAGATAATGCAAGATAAGGAGTATAGAGGGCAACTGAAAGATCAAAGAATGAGCCTAGGAATATATGAAGCCTGAGAGAGCACTAATAAGCAGGGTAGGAGGGATTCAGGGAAAGCTTCACAGGAGTTGACACCTAAACTTTTTCTTGAAGGAAAATAGGAACTCTGAAAGGCAAAACTGAGGAGGGAGTATATTTCAGCCATGAAGAATGATTTGTGAAATCTTCAGGTGTGGGAAGTGGCATTTTTGAGTTCAGGGAAAAAGCTGGAACATAAAATGTATTAAGGTGAATATTGTGAAATCAAACTGAAAAGGTAGGTTGGAGATTCGTTGTAGAGGGCCTTAAATTTGAAGCTGTTTTCCTAGTGGCAATAGGGACCTTTTGAAGGTTTTTGAGTAGGGGAGTAGTATGCTTAAACCTGTTCTTTCCAAAAGTGACAGTTGTGGATGGTGAATTAGAACTGGGAGAGATAAGAAGCAGGGAAATGAATTAGTCAAATAAGAGTAGTATGAACGCCTGGAATACAATGGTAGCAAAGCACATGGGGAGAAGAGGAAGAGTAGGAGGTATTGTGGTGGTATAATCAACCAGACTTAGTATCTGATTGGAAATTAGATGGGGAAGGGAGGTGGAGATGGGGAATAGGGAAGGATCAAAGATCAAAATGAGGTTATTGGAAGGATGTTGGTGCCCTGGCCATAGACAAGAGGAAATTTAGAGGGAAATAGGAGTCCTTTTTGGAAACACTGAGTTTGAGGTGTCAGTGGACAGAACTTCTGGACTAGAGAGATTAGGGCTGGATGTATATATACATTTGGGAGTCATTTCTCTACTGATGATAATTAAACCTATGTGAGCTAATGAAATCATTGGAGAGATGATATAAAACTCCATTAGTTGGCCTACTAACATTCTCCATTTGCATGGTGGGTTGCTGATTATCAATATAAACATCTTTACAATGCATCAAAATGATGCAATGTATTGCTTAGGCAATAATCTATTATTTTAAGAACTTGTACCTCACAATGCATTTCATTACTTACAATTAAGGCAAGCTGCAAATATTTTCAATTTAAAAGGTGGGTGGGGGAAACAACAAGCATTTATTAAGCACAAACTATGTACTAGACTCTGTTAAGCACTTTATAATTATTATCTCATTTGATTCTGTCATTCCCATTGATAAATGAACTCCATAGGAAATGTTCCTCATTTTCTTCCTTCGCTATTTCCAAAAAGCCCTTTCTAATATATTATTGGTGAATATAGTCATTTCTGAGTGATTCTCCCCACATCAAATAAATGGAATTTGGTGCAAGATTAGCTCCCTAATTCTCCTCCCTTCTCAAGTACATAAGACCAAGATCTTTTTTGAATTTGAGTTTTTAATCTTTTTTTATGTCAGACACCTCTGGTAAATTATATTGAAAAAAGATGTAATTTTTTTTCTCATCCAAGTTTACAGACCCCTTCAGGGACACCAAGTTAAGAACCTCTCCTTTAGAAGTTCTTGAATGTTGAGAAGTCCATTGAGCCTTTTTATCATGGCTCTTTGAAATTTTCCCTATAGATTAAGGGACTGGAGTCAGTGGTTGTTGTGAGGATAAAATAAGATCATGTATATGAAATCGCTTTGGAAACTAGCCCTATCCTGTCTCCATTCCTACATGCTCCCTCCCTGCATTCTCTTCATCCTTCTGAAGTTCCATCTCTAACAGTTGCCTTCCCTGATCCTATCCCCTTTGTGGAAACACCTTCCAATACAGGGCCTGAAACCCTGGAATGACTCCAGAGCTGAGGCTGAACTCCTAGCAATGATGATAACCTGCCTGAACTCCTTATTCCTTAGTAATAACATACTCCCACCTCATCACCCCATCCACATCCCAGTAGTTTTGGACACTTGGCTGTCATGGTTCAAACCGCATTTCCATCAAACCCATCTTCCACTGACTGCTTCATCCCTTGTTCCATCCCTCTGAACTCCTACCCCTGACCCCCAGTATCCTACTTTAGAGCTATTTTGTCTTCAAGCTTTTTCTTTCTCACCGCTTCTATCTATTTTGTACTCATTGAGATCTGGCTCCTTCCTGATGACACAACTTTCCAGCCCTTTGGATATATACGTCCCCTTAACTCACTGGTCTTGGTAGAAGAGTTGCAGTGTCCTAAGGGTTAATAGGTAACAGCTATAAGAATTTTAATTGATTGTATGATAAATATGGACTGAGTGAACCTCCAAGCAGAAATGATAGAGGGGGAGCATAGAAGTGCCCTCTTATTCTGTGACTCTGTCAAGCTTCAACCTTGAACTATTCCCACCATCTACTGCCTTTATTTCTACTCAAATGCCACTGAACAACATCAGAGAAAGTTATAAAACCATGTTGACTGAGTCTGCTACAAATTTATTTTACATAATCTCAACTGGGCCCTCACAGCTGGTAGGCAGTCATTTTACACTTCCCTAATTGATTTGCTATCACACTTACCACAATGACTTTTCCAGACTTTTTCATTCTTCTTCAAATCTCGCATAGTTTCTCCTCCCCCTACTCTCACAACTGAGACTGTTGCCTTGAGGCTGTTTGTAGAGAGCTCCCTCTTTTTTCCTCCTCATCTCAGATACCCTTTGCCACTGTCTCCTGTCTCATATGAAGGAGATAGTTTTGCCAAGGAAAAATCCTCAACATATCTGTCTTCTCCAGCAGATTGTCCCTCTATCATCTCTACTCTCACTAATCTTCAATCTCTTTCTGTCTGTTGGCTCCTTCTCTACTGCCTAGAAGCACACCCATGTCAAAAACCCCTCACTTATCATTTATCCCACCTAGCTATTGTATCTCTTCCCCTTTTTGGCTAACTTCCTTGGAAGACTGTCTAAAAGTGGCAACTTCACTTCCTTTCCTCTCACTTGTTTCTTAACTTCTGATTTCTGATTTCTAACCTCATCATTCAACTGAAACTGCTCTCTCCATAGTTACCAATGATCTCTTAATTGCCAAATCTAATTGTCTTTTCTCAATCTTTATCCTTCTTGACCTCTCTTCAGCCTTTAACACTGTCAATTATCCTCTTCTTCTTGATACTCTCTTCTCTCTAGATTTCATGACACTGCTGTCTCCTGGTTCTCCAACCTAACTACTCCTTTGTCTTCTTTGTTGGATCTTCATTCAAGTCATGCTTTTAGTGAGTGTCCCTCAAGGCTCTGTCCTAGGCCTTCTTTTCTTCCATATTGTTGTGCTTTATGTTCCTTTCAGCTTCTATATCATCTTCATGCAAATGAGTGTCAGATCTAATTATATAACACTAACCTCTCTCCTTCTAGTTTTGTGGCACTAGCTGTTCCTTTGAACTAGTTGTTTTGTAGATATCTTAAAATCCACATATTCAAAACTGAACACATTATCTTCTCCACCCCCCCCCACCCAAGTTCTCTTCTCTTCTTAACTTTGCTATTACTGCTAAGTAATACTCCTTTACTTGGTGATTTCATGAGCTGCCATGGATTTAATTATGTTAATGATTCTCA